CTACCAATATTATTAAGCCTATGTGTTTCTCCATTCAACTCTTAGGGGAATTGGAACTAGACCAGCAGTAAAGGGGTTCTCTTACTCAGTAGCACCCCATCTTACCATGGTATTAGTGGGGCTGAGGACAAAGAGAATTCCGTAACTCTTATCTGAATGCATTGAATACAGGTGTGGGCAACTGATAGATCCTGATTAGAAAAGGAGCCTGTAGAGAAAGTGAGATGCTAAGATTTTTGGCTAAATTGTTACTCACAATAAGCAACAGGAAATTACCTCAATCATTTAAAGTTGGCAATATCAGGGACCAGCACATTCCATGGTCTCATGGATGCAGAGACGGAGTATACACAAACCAGATACAAAAGATAAAGGGTCTAGTAATAACTCATGACTACTGCTCTAAAAGTGACTTTATTTTTTTTCATTGATTTTTCCTACAGAGAGGAACGAGGTAGCTGGTTCTTTCTCCAAGGCTTCTGTGCCTACCCAGCTATCTCCTGTCCATAACCTTGTCTACACCCTTGACCTACTTTTCTTGTAGCAAAGGCTTGGGGAGAGAGGTAACCAACTATTGACTTTAGCAAAAGTACAAAACACATAGGGAAATCATTCTAGAGCTAACCCTGTGGAGCACCAAGAAAACATTCCTCCCCCCATTCCTTTTAATTTCCATCTCTTGCAGCCAATCTGAGGCCTGATTCAGAATGTTTTTCTGGGCTGAGAGCCACCTCTTAAAGCACATGGCCCATAAACTATAGTTGGTAGGAGGGGAACAAGGGTGAATCCATACAAGACCTATCTGCCTTGCAACTTTTCTATCAAAATTAACTGCTGGGATTTTCTTCCATATATACTGCCCCAATGTCCAAGGGTGGTTTCTCACAGCAAAGAGAGAAATATACCTAAGCTCAGGACTGGGAAAGGCAAAAGGGAAATGCATTCAACAAATGTGGCTGGCACTTTTCATGTGCCAGGAACTTTCCAAAGTGTTGGGGACACAATATTGAACAACAACAAAAAAATCTTGTCCTCATGGAGTTTACATTCTTTCCTATATTAACAAGACTTCAGGAATGAAAAATGAAATCACACTTGGCTTCACAGGAAGTAAACAGCAGAAAAATTCACAAAAATAAAATCAAAAGAAAAAAGGAGACAAAATCATTTGTAGGTGAAGTGAAACATCAGTTTTAAAGAAAAAAACTGTACTTCTAAGCTTCTTTAACCACATGCCACCGGCCCCCACCTCCCGAAAAGCCCTTCGTTTCCAGGACAACCCTCACTTTTCCTAGGGTGTATTTGCATCCCTGCAAAGATTCCTGCTCCAGGTAGTCAAATCAATACTGTCCTCCTGCACAGACTTCATTGGTATTCAATGATGAGTGCCACCAATTTGAAGCCGGAAACTAGGACATAGGCTAAGCAACTTGACTCTCCTTGCTGCCTGGCAAGTTAGCACCACAAATGGTGAAGAAAGGATAAGCCTTAGGGACAGAGGCTTCTGCCTGGATCTCTAAGCAACTACACTTCACCCACACACATTGGAAGAATGTCAACATAGGGAGAAGGGTGGAATAGAAAGGTCTAAAGAAAGAGAATGAGCCACATAGCTTCTTTCGGCAAATCAACACTCCAAATGGAAACATCAGGGAAAATACTCTTCTACAACAAAAGAGAAGCTTTGCTGCTAGGATAATTTTCCAAAAGCAATATTTTTAGGATGGAAAAATTGCCTAGGTCTTTGGAATCTGAATTCTGATGACTAAACCTCTATCCCTCCAGGACATAACATGTGAAAACTCAAGATCCCTGGCCCCGTCTCCCACTCTGCCATCTCCCTACTTCCCAAAACCTACAAACCAATCTATACAAGTTTCTGACTGCACCATAAAGCATTTCTCGGGGAGTTTGGAATGCATTAATACTGACTTCAACTTGCTGGAAGTGAGAGTGACAGCAGGCAGGAGCAGACAAGTATAACTGCCAGGGAAAGAGAGACCAAACCAGACTCAAAAATAACCCAGGCCTTCCTGAGGATACCCCAGGAAGAAAATATACTGTGGCCTTAGCAGAAGCCTGGGCCACAGTATATCATCTCCCATGGCCGACAAAGGGCCTAGGGTCCAAACACTGCCCCTTTTGAAAGGCTGACCCACATCTTAGAGGAAGGGGCTAGAAAAGTTAGGTGGCTTTCTACCCTGCTTCTTCCTTGTCCTTCTTTGTGGGGAAGGGAAGAAGACACTGTAGTACACAAGGTTGCTTGGGAAAATGGATTATTCTAATAAAACTTTATTTTTTCAAACACAGCCACAGAGGCAGAACCTCATGTTTAACACACACAGACTTATGGATTTTTTTTAATATAAAACAAAGTTTACGAAAAAATTTTTTTCCACTTTTTGTATTTGTAATCCCATTAGCACAGGGACTTTGGCAGCAGGTGGGAGTGAAGGGCAGCTGGGCTGCCACTGGGCAGTCACTGGGCACAGGAGGAGAGCACCAGCCTGGGGAGTGGCTTCACTCACACACGCAGGGATACTCACCTACTGGCCAACCACACCACACACACAGCACAGATGCAGACATCTACCCAGTGTCAGCCACATGCCCTGGAGGTGTGCTCCACTCTGGGTAAGCCCAATATGTGAAAATCCAAATAGTCAAAACAGCTAAAGTGGAGGGAGGTTGCTTGCTTTACAAAAAGAAGCAATCATAGGCTGCTTTTAAATGATCAGCAGTCCAAATGCATTGAAAAATAGCATTTGGTTTACACAGAACTGTTAGAACAGATCTACTGTGTAAAGCAACATGAACCACTTCTTGAAAAGGCTTGTTCCAGGGCCATGGGTTCTTACATTGGGAAGCAAGATGATAGTTCTGACTAGCTTAGTTTTCCAGACTGAAAGTAATGGAATTAAAATAATGGTAACTGTAGACCTTCTCCCCTAAGAATGGTGCCCTGGGCCTTTGGGGAAACCAGGATGGAGGCAGAATCACTGCCTCACTTCTTCAGCTTAGAGCCTGCAGAAATCTCACTGGCATTGCCAGTGACCTGTTGGAAGCTGGCACAGCCAATCTGTAGCAGAGAGCCCAGGGATGAGGATACCCCAGGAAAAAAAGAAGTTGCCACCAGGGAAATTATGGCCTGAAGAGGGAGAAGAGCCAGGGGAGGAATGAAACCATAGATGGGCAACTCCTAGGCTCACAGTTTCCCTGGATTCTCCAGAGGGCTTCTCTCAGGCCCCTAGAGATCTGGTAGCCCAGTGGTAACTAGCCAGGAGATACGGAGGAGCCTCTGAGGGCCAAAGGCTTAAGAAGACATGGCCACCTCCTCTCTGGAGTGGAGACGAGGAGGCTGAAGCCTCACTGATGCTCCGGAAACCCAGAAAATGTCAGGTTCAATTCCATGAGGAAGAAAACACAACGACCTTGGTCTTCTTCCCCTACATGAAGAACTGGATCCTAGGAAACCCTGGAAATTGAAGAGAAAAATGTCCTTCTTGCCATAAACAAGAAGGGTAGGTCCAATATGGTCAAGCAGGGTCTAACCAAAACTGGACAAAACCTCACAAGCTATTGTGGTGGCAGCTTTAGTATGGGTTTCCACTGGTGCCAGCCCTACCAAGGTACTTAAACCCATCACTGTGGCCACTGGGACCAGCGGTCCTGACTCAAGTTCTGGGTGAGAAACAAAAAAGTAAATTCAATCCAATGACAACCAAACTCCCAATTGCTTCTTACAGCCGTTGCTTTATACATCCTCAGCCAATCCCTCAGTGAGCCCCAACCTCCCTATGGTCTCTAAGGGCCAATTAGAGGCAAATAAACATTTCCTGGCAGGAGTGGAAGACAAGCAAACTATTAAATGCTAAACACCCCTTCCTCTTTCCCAAGCAGGTCGAAGAGGCTGGGCCTGGATCTTGTAAGAATTGGTTTCCTGCAGTCAGCTTCCAAATAGCAGTGCTGCGGTGAGCTCACCCATGTCTGCTGAGGACTGAATGCCACTTCTGCTGCACGTCTGCCTCACTAGATACTGGGGACCAATATAGGGCCTTCCTACCTAGTCTATGACCTAAAAGGGCAGAGGGTAAGGGGAAAAGCATCCCATCAGCAGAGAAGAGAGAGATGGAACCCCCCCCAACCCTGCCTCAGTTGCTCATGTGCCATGTGCAACTCTACTCAAGAGGGCAAAAGAGGCAGCTGGTATAAAGCCTAGACAATCTGATGAGAAAAAAAGGCCAGCACAGAAAAAATATGGTGACACCCCCCCATCTGCATTCCTCAATATTGAGGATTGAGCTAGTGGATGGGCGGGAGGGCTGAGGAAAAGATCATTAGCTGAAGTCACAGCACTTAAAACACCCTGCTGTGCCCCAAAACGAAATCCTTTGCAGAGTTGGTGATGCTATGGATTACAAGCCTGGTTCCAGAGCTATTTAGAAAAAAGGAAAACTTGGTGCCCACCTCTTAACTCCTTGAGCAAACCCACCATCCTGTAAAAAACTCAAGATCCTGGGGGTATCATGATACTCTGCTGTTAAGGAGCAACTGCCTTCCTTCCCTAAGGCTACGCAAACACACCCTTCCACAAGTACACTCCCATGCACGCACACACTCTCACACAGTTTCTCCGAGGAGGCTGACTCAACCCCCCACCCTGGCCAAATTCTAAGACACAAGTGCCCTTTGAAGCAAAGGGGCTAGTGAAATTCCCCGAGCTGGGGTCAGCAGACCCCTTCCTTCCCTGCCCATTGCTCTCTTCATGGCAGGGATACTCACACTCAGGGCCGCCATGGGAAGGGTCTGCTCTGGGGCTGTCCCTCCCGCCACCAGCTCCGTTTATCTTGTCCCGGCCAGTCTCTCGGCATGGTCGAGCTTGCTGGAGCGAGAAGATTTCCGGCTGCCCTGAGTCGGAGCCCTCCACTCACCCCCATTCCCAGGCTAGGCCCCCAGCCTTGGGGCCTCGACACTTGTTAGTAGCCATAAGAGAGTCAGTCTGTGTGGCCCCAGGAAGCAGCCTCTCAGTTTTAGTTCTCCTCAATCAAATTCAAGTCCAGGTCCCCAAAGTCCTGCTGGCACAGTGTCCGCTTGCTCAGTGCCTGCCGACCCCACCGCACAGCCCCCTCCTCCTCCTCTTCGCTTTCACTCAGCACCTGGGAGGAACCCCCAATGGGGCTGCAGGAAGCCGAGAGGGGTTGGGGGCTACAGGCCATGAACCATGGTGGAGAGATGCTGCTGCCTTCCCGGGCTGTTTCTTGGAGACAGAGACCTCCTGAGTATGGTTTCTGTCAAACAAACAAAGAAGACAGTTACACCTGAAGGCAAGAATCCTAGGCTTTAGGGTGAGGTTTGTAAACTTTCTGACAAAATTTGGAGCCCACTGTTTCCATTAGAAAACTGCTTTTGCTCAAAGCAGTAGGAAAAAAAAAAAAAAAAAGATTCAGAAGCTCTATGCAGGCAGGAACATCATCTGCATTATACTACTCTGTACTGCCAGTGCCTAGTCAGAGTCAGTAAATGTTTGCAGATGGGATGGACAACTGTATGAAAAAGTGAATCTATTCTTTTTTTTTTTTTTTTTTTTTGAGTTGGAGTTTCGCTCTCGTTACCCAGGCTGGAGTGCAAATGACGCGATCTCGGCTCACCGCAACCTCCGCCTCCTGGGTTCAGGCAATTCTCCTGCCTCAGCCTCCCGAGTAGCTGGGATTACAGGAACGCGCCACCATGCCCAGCTAATGTTTTGTATTTTTAGTAGAGACGGGGTTTCACCATGTTGACCAGGATGGCCTCGATCTCTTGACCTCGTGATCCACCCGCCTCCGCCTCCGAAAGTGCTGGGATTACAGGCTTGAGCCACTGTGCCCGGCCAAAAAAGTGAATCTATTCTTAAAGAGGTTTGTAACCCAGTGGTCTAGAAATAATAATATGAAAAAAGTGAGCAAGTGCATAAAATAACTGCACTCACACTAGGAAGTCAAAAAACATTTGTCTAACAGATGACTACACTATAGCAGCCCAACTTGCTTCAGCCTTCACAGACCCACTTTGAAACAGTGACAAGCAAGTGGCAAAACCAGCCTTGGGCACAAGGAGTGGGCACTGATGATGGGATTTTTTGCAGCTTATGCATTCTTAAAAAGGAGGGAAGCCGGGCGCGGGCTCATGCCTGTAATCCCAGCACTTTGGGAGGCTGAAATGGGCGGATCACCTGAGGTCAGGAGTTCGAGACCAGCCTGACCAATACGGTAAAACCCTATCTTTAAAAAAAACAAAAAAAACAAAAAGGAGGGAAAGTACCACTTGCAGGACAATTTGGGATCCCTGTTGGAAGGTTTAACATGGGTCTTACCCCAGTTTCTCTAACTCCCAGGATTAAGGCATTTCACAGGAGGGGGGACTTTTAGTGCTAAAACTGGGACAGTCTCAGGCAAGCTGGGATGGTAGGTCACCCTAGCTAAGAGCTAAAGGAGGTGCTGCTGGTGGGTGGCAGGGGAGCAGGGGAATGAAGCTAGGGGCTAGCTCAAAAGTCGGAACAGAACAGAGTCCCCATACTCCCATTCAAGCTCCCCTAGTCTTGCTGGTCCCACCTGATTCATCTTGTCAAAGTCCAAGGAAGGACGCAGACGCCGGGGGTCCTCCTCGTGGCGCCGCTTGATCCCAGTTTTGCGGGCATCCAGATCACAAGGCTGTGAGCGGCTTCGGGGAAGGCTGCGGAGACCTCGAGGTCGCCAGGGCAGCTCTGGGGAGGATGCGGGAGAGCTCCGGGCAGAAGGCAAGAAGCGGCTTGCCTGCGGGCCCAGGCTGGGTGACAGGGAGAAGCGGCGCTGAGGTGGGCAAGGTGACAAGGACTCAGCATCACTCTCCCAGGAGCCACTCTGAGGGGAGGCAGCGCAGGGTCGAGAGGAATCTTGGGCCAGGGCCAGGCTGAAGAAAGGAGGGCTGTAGGGTCTGTGGGCTGGGGCACATTGAGAAGAGGCACTGGGAGCTTGGAGGAACCTGAGGCTGGAGACCCGCTTTGGGGGGCTCTGGTGAGGCACCTGCGGCCCACCCCCTCCACCACTGCCCCGGTGCTTGATGGGAGTCCACAGCTTGGAGGGGGCGGGCCGCCACACCGGCTGCCAGCGAGACAGGTCCACGGGCACTGAGAGTGAGCGGCAGTGCCTCTTAGATGGAGGGGCAGGGGGCACAGGAAGCTTCTCTGGGTCTGGGGGCTCAGGGCTTAGGACTTGGGAGAGGGGCTGCTCCTTGGGGGAGCCTCCCCGACTGGGTGGTCTGAAGTGCAGGCTCAGGCCTGAAGGATGATAGCTGAAGTTGAAGCTGTCCTGGAACTCAGCACAGGAACAGTGGGGCAGGCCCCTCCAGGAAGCACCTTCTGGAAGGCATTCATAATAAAAATAATATTAATGATAGCTTACATTTTTTTTTTTTTTTTTTTGTTTTGTTTTGGTTTTTTTCGTTTTTTTTGAGACGGAGTTTCGCTCTTGTTACCCAGGCTGGAGTGCAATGGCGCGATCTCGGCTCACCGCAACCTCCGCCTCCTGGGTTCAGGCAATTCTCCTGCCTCAGCCTCCCGAGTAGCTGGGATTACAGGCACACGCCACCATGCCCAGCTAATTTTTTGTATTTTTAGTAGAGGCGGGGTTTCACCATGTTGACCAGGATGGTCTCGATCTCTTGACCTCGTGAGTGATCCACCCGCCTTGGCCTCCCAAAGTGCTGGGATTACAGGCTTGAGCCACCGCGCCCGGCCTGATAGCTTACATTTTTAAAGAACTTACCATGTGCCATACAATGTACGGAGAACTTTATGTGAAATTTTCCAAACACCTCATGAGGTAGGTAGTATCATTATCATTATCTCCATTTCACAGATAAGAGAAATTCAGTAACTTTCCCAAAATCACATGGCAATCAAAAGACCAAAGGATTCAAATCCAGGTCTGTCTGACGCCAAGGCCAGGTTTCTAAACGACTATGTTATATTGCCTGCATTGTGACAAACTACCTGGAATCAAAAACATTTCATCTAATACCTGCCACTCTCTCTCAAAAGTAAAAGTCAAGAGAAACAAACAGGTCTATGTGTGTCCCTGTTCATCCCTCCCCCTGCCCCTCCCCTACTCTTGCCCTGGATGCTGAAAAGCAGGCCTATGCTCTCCTTCTTTGGCCTTTCCTCTTCTCATATGTCAACAGCACCAAGTCAGGAGTTAGGGCTGCCAAGAAGTAAGAGGTAATCAGGCAGGTAAGAGATCACTTTTATTCCTAGGGAGGGCAGACAGGGTGGGGAAAGCCTTTGACAGTGAAATCCAGGCTTGAGAAACCCTAAGACTTTGTGCTGCTCATGTTCCTTTGTGTCTGGCTACCCGCATACTACGAATCCCTTCCTCCAGGCCTTCCTTAAATCCAAAGAGATGGAGGGATCAAGGGAAGGAAGAGGAAATGGACTAAAAGAACTGATTCTCACTCACTGTATTCCAATAAAAAATGTGGCTTTTGGGAGATGGCTCATTAAGGGACTAGGGGCCTAGTCCAAACTCCTCTGGCTAGCTGGTGGAATTCTGCAGGGGCTGGATATTTGGAGCAATTGATGGCAAAACTAATACTGACTGTATTTAGTCAATAGTTCTTCCCCCTGCTAACCTCTTTAGGGCAGGGACCATGAGATCATGTTCTATACTTATAACACAATACCTGGTTTCCAGCAAGTCTTTAATAAACAGGAGGAAGAGACTGAATGAACATGTTTTTGCCAAAGCACTTTCCTTGCTAAGTATCCCAACAGTAAATGAGATGCAGAACAGCTCAGCAGCGTGAGTTAGAGAGTTCTGATTGTCCACTAGTGATGCCTCCACCTAAATGTCCCTATGATCATGGGCCCTTTGACTGAGTAATTAATAATCTAGGTATTTATACTTCAGATATATTTTCACAGGCACAAAAATGACATATGTACAAGGTTATTTGCTACAGTATTTTTCTTTCTTTCTTTCTTTTTTTCGGTTTTTCAGACAGAGTCTCACTCTGTTGCCCAAGCTGAAGTGTAGTGGGCACAACCTCGGCTCACTGCAACCTCCACCTCCTGGGTTCAAGTGATTCTCCTGCCTCAGCCTCCTGAGTAGCTGGGATTATAGGCACT